CCCCCACCCCACCCAAAGTGGTTCAATATTTGAAATCTCTTTTTGGTGAACTGGGACAGAAGAACGATATCCTGGATAAGATGTCTCTGTACCTGGAGACAAATATGCCAAGTCTGTTGTTAAACCTGGAGACCAGGAGGTCCACATCCAGCATCTCCTTCCTGTGACAAGAGCACTCATCTCCCAGGTCTAGATGTTGACAGCTGATGAACTCTACCTGTTAATTGTGTACACCTGAGAGGTTACCAGTGGACAATGCCACAACATGAATTTCTGCCTAGGACAGAATAAAATCTACTTCTCTTAATGTGGTGAGACTTCTGGTTCCTCCCTGATGGTTGATGTATGCCACTGCCATAGCATTATCGAAAAATTGGTTGACCCTCCAGCAGGATGGTCCAACAATACAGAAACAAAACGGAAGCATCTGATGTGCACAGAAGGCAGGAAGTTCTCCTGGTGAAAGGAGGCGATGACCAACCTGATGAACTTCATGCAGAATTTCTGAGCTTGAATGAATGCATTAATTTCTGAGATCAAAGATGGGGTACATGCCCCCTATGGGTTTGGCAACGGCATGGAGTAAAATCCCTAAAACTGTTCTACCACCGGAAGGGGGGCAATTACATCTTGACCTACAAGGCCTGAGATGGCTTATAGGACATCTGTTAATGTGTGCAGAGGAAGGTGGGAGGTAAGAAAAAGAGGAGGTGGCTGGGAGGGAAACCCTGGCTTGAAGTCCAAGGAAATCATCCCTTACACCCAAGTATCTGAGATGCCGGTTGTCAAAACGTACGTACCTGCAGAGGTTAACAAACGTCTCCCCACTTTGAAAATGGAGGCACACCTTCATGCAGAGGAGGGTTTGTCAGAGGGCTTGATGGACTGAGCACCAGAACTAATGGGTGAACAATCAGATAAGGTTTGGCAAACCAAGGTTACAAGCAATATGGAATGAAATACAGGGCCTGCCAGCGTGAACAAAGCTCTAAAAAGGGTTTCCAAATGCTTTTATCTTGGGTCCTTAAAAACAGATGCATCCTCCAGCACAATGGTAGTTACCCTGTTAGGGCCGGGCACGGCAGGATCCAGTGGGGACAGACAACTTTTTAACAAAGTCCCCTTCAAAATGGATACAAGGTTAATAAGCATTTGAGGGAAGCAAACATCTTGTCAGGGTGTCCATTTTCCAAAAAGGATGACTTGGAGCAGTAGGTGCACCAGGAAACTTGTTGGTCTTTGGGGCTATAAAGGACCCAAGACTGGGTATAGCAGTGGTTGAAGCAACAGGCTGATTCTCTAGTTTGTGTGGTGTGCACTGTTTAAATATGAGCCAATACAGTCACTTAATTTGGGAGTGATAGCAGAATACTACAACCCCTCAGAGGCAAGCTCAACCAGCAAGGACAGGAAAGACTCCGCAACTGATGGCTCAGAGGCCATTGGCAAATCAAAAACAGAATTTGCAGAGGAAGGCGTAGAAGCATGCATGTAGCCTCTGCAAGCAAACACCAGAGCCGTTAGTAGAGTGTGAGCATGGGACACCCATTGTAGAAGAGCTGTCTTCCCCATGTCTAGAATCAGACATGCTGTGACCTTGTGGCTGTTAGGAAACATAAAGCTCAGGGTACAAGGCAAGGCAGGTGAAGGTCAGAAGGCCGGATGAGACAGTCACTGAAGATGGACAAATCGAAGATAGGAGTATCATGTGCAGGGCTTGAAAAATCCAGTGCCACTTAGTGTCACTTTCTAGCTACAGATGCTGATGATGCAGATCTCTGCTTCATCATCTTCTCTGGGGGTCCCTAGGTGACATTAGGGGTCTTTGAGACCCCTGATGTCTTCATAAAGAGGACCGGTCATGTAAATTGGCTATCTCATGGGGGGTTTCTTAGCCCCCCATGTGATAGCAATAAAGTTGTGTAAAAAAATAAAAGAATCCTAAAAAAAAATAAGAAAAAAAAACTTTTTAAAGTCCTCCGCACCCCACATAAACATGCAGATGTGTGGGGTGCGCAAATAACGATTGCGCCTATTGTGCCGCACATGTTACATAGCGCCACGAACGTCGGAGTGTGGGCAATAATTTTAGGGCCATCAATTAATAACACTAAACTGATGAGCGGTAAAAGCGTTTTAAGCGTCGCCTATGGGCAATTTTCCGTGTGCACGTTTTTTTTTGCGATTTTGAGCGCGCGCAAAAAAGGCTTGTCATGTTTGGTGTCTATTTACCCGACGTGACCCCGTCTTTTATATTTTACCAAAAATATGGTTAAGAATACATGTTTTATAACATAAAACGTAGAGAAAACATTTTTTATTCAAAATTTACGGTACTTTTTTCATTATATAGTAAAAAGTAACCCTCCCCTCAGTGGTGATAATATACCTCCAAAAGAAAGCTCTATCTGTCCCCAAAATTTTTTAACAAATTGCAAGGCTATAGTCTGGTCATGCTACTGGTGACATTTTTGACTTACTGGTGAGACACCCTATCATTTTTCAAGCCCTGATCATGTGGCTCTTTGCAATGCCGGAGCATCAGCAGGGAGATGCTCCCTCAGTGCTGAAAGGAAGGAAACACTGCACCTAGAGGATGTCAGTACTCAGTCCCGCAGCATTAAACCCTTCTATAGGGAAAACCAGCTAAAAGAGTGGGAAATGAAAAAGCTTTCAGCAAACAAAGTAACTAAGGTAGCTGCCAGTGCCAACCCGAACAGCCTACTGACTGAGTTTTCAGAGAATGGGCAAATGCTGAGACAATGCCCTGGATCTGGAAAGCGCTCGGTGGGCAAACTTGGAGAAGAGAGAAGGTCTGGAAAACTCCTTATGCAGAACCCAATGCCTGAAGGTCACTTCCAGACTAGCCCTGTGAAACGCAGTCCAGAAGAGTCATGACGCGGCACTTCCCCACCTGATAGCTGCAAAGAAAATAGAAAGTCTGGCAACGATATAACGTATAGTCTTGATTGAAGAATATATATATATCAGTGAGCTTTTATATTCTGCATTCTGCCTGCGTGTAACGTGGCCCTGCTTTTCTGTGTCTTGCTGAGGGAGGGATGAAATATCAAGTATTTTCTCCCTCCCTCAGCAAGACACAGAAAAGCAGGGCCACGTTACACGCAGGCAGAATGCAGAATATAAAAGCTCACTGCTAAAATTGTGTTTTGGAGAACTGCAGCAGTTTATACAAACTTTATACAAGCTTGTGCCCCAACCTTACTTTGTGTTACTGTATTACTACTGTATTTACACGTCCGCTCTGGGATACCATACTTACAGTGAATTCTCCAGTCACAGCATCGAAACCCACATGTATGGTGTGTTCAAAGTCAGAGGGCGGGGAGATTTCAGGACGCTCTTTCTTTTTGCCCACTGTTCAGAGAAAAAAATAAATAAAATAAGGGAACCTTACCTATTCAAGCAATTCATATAATTACTCAATGTTGTATCTGGATGTGTCCTGAGGTATTGATGTCATTTCTTAAAGCTAGACTCCGGGATAAGTAATGTCTAACTACAAGAGGTATGTGGAGTCTGACTTGAATCTTCAACTAAGGTAGAAACATAAAGCATATCCTTGATAAGGTGGGGCAAAAAGGAACCCGAAAAGTGTATTTCTGCATTTACAGCAAAATTAGAACAACACCTTATTTATGTTTATTGCACGTAATTATTCACATAGCATAACGTAGAAAAATTGTTCACAGTAGCTTGCAGTCTGTCCAAAGAAACATCTATAATGCAAGAAATGTTTTGTTAATTTTTTTTTCCAGTTATGCTGTATGAATGGGAACACAAACCTATAGTGCGTTTTTCTCAAAGGCTGAAATGCACTTTAAGCTGCTTCTGGTAGTATAATCAGTCCTGCAGCCATAGGATACCTGATACTTGAGAAGGTAACCAAAACTAAATGGCAGAACAGCTCCCAGCAATTGAAGCCTAATTCCAGCCAAACCTTTTGGGGATATTACATGGGACTTTCTGTCCTGGCAACCACACAGATGAGATGCCTCTAACAGGGACATAAAACGAAAACCTAGCTGTGGGTCTACTGAAGTCAGTCATGTCATAACTTTAGATAACAAAGTAATTTTTTTTAGAACAAACAAGGCCCTCCCTTGGCAAAACTGTCTGGTAAAAAAAAGTAGATTGTATATGCAATCTACAGACAAAGGATGTAACAAAAAAACAAAACTAAACAGTTTTTTTCTAGTATGACAACTGTTGTTATTAACACAACCAGTGTCGCTTTAAAGTGCACTATTTATTCTACAATTTGTTCCATTAATGACAGTAACATTACGTTTCACCCTGAGTTTCACTAGAAACAAAAATAAAAAAAAATAAAAAAAATCAGCAAAATAATAGCTAGGGGGGAAAGAAGTTAGGGAACTATAGGGTAAATGTTTTTTCCCATAGTTCTCCTCAAGATCAGGGGAGGACATATACTAGCGTCCTCCCGTGACCCAAAGCTTAGTATAGCGCGAGCTACAGCTTGCGCCATACTGAGACCGCCACAGCCGGGATGGATCCCGACATTACTGTAGAGATCCACCCAGCTGCGTGAGTGACCGCTGGCTCTGCCTATCTGGAGGCCAGCTGTACCCGCCCCTCCCCTGTTCGTTCCTCCAGTCAGCGCTGCAGGATCGGAGCGGTGAGGGGGAATCCCTGCAGGGAGCCGTGAGTGACAGTCACAGCTCTCTGCAGGAACAGGATCGAGAAGTGAGCGAGCGACGGTATGTCTTCACTTACTTCCCGATCTAGTGAGCCGACATGTGACAGTTTCATTGTCACACGGCGGCTTGAACTATGAGGTTCAGTGAAATCACTCAACTCATAGCTCTCCTTTAATTAAAACTAATTAAGGTTCACAAAGGTTTAGATAGGAACAGTTTATCTAAGGGACACTAAAAATCTTAAAAGTGCATTCAAGTACCTTAACTGTTCTTCCTTCTGGAGGGTGGCTACTTTTGTTCCCCATGGTCCCTGTGTGTGCTGTAAAGTAGCCATCGCTCCAAGCTCACTCCTGTGATGGACTACAATTTCAATGCAAATAAGTAAACTAAACGTGAGATTGTAGTCCACTTAGATCTCGTGAGGGAAGGAACTGATGCGAATGTGCACCATGTAAGCGCTGTGTAAATTGTCAGCACTATAGAAATAAATACCTGTATTAACTCACCTTTTTCATTGCTAGAAAAGATGGATATTATTTTATTTCTGGAAGGTTTTCTTTCTTCAGGGATCAGTGGAAGGGGTTTCAGGCTGTGATTACTTGACAGGGGGTCTTTCAATCCAGAACTGCTTATCCGTACTGGAGGGGCTGGTGGCTTATCTTCGAGTTCTCCATTGTCAGACATCGTTGCTGCAGCTCAGTCCTAGAGTTACAAGACAAAGGGTTAGTGTGTCTTCTAACAATTCTCAACGGAAAATCCAGTACAATATAGGTGAAGCTAATGGGTAACATAGGTAAAGTAAGTCTCAAAGCTGAAAACAGTGTAAATTTTCTGATGCAATTGAGTGATGTCAGGGCTCGACAAATCCCAGGCGCCAGGTCACCATGGTGACTAAAAATTGCATCCTGACGCCTGGGCTGTTGTCAGCCCGTTCACTGTCCCTCGCCACTGCCTTCTCTGGCGCCACAATCAGCTCTGCTCCCCCGTCCTCCTCCCCGCTGCTCTCCCCACCTGTAGGCAGAGGCAGCGGGGATTGGACCACTGCAGTCGGCACCTAGTGGGAATGAGAGACTGCTGTCCCCCGACCCTGTTGCACCCCCGCCTTCAAACTGCTCCTATTTCCCGCTGCACCTTTGCCGCCCCCTCTTCCCATTCAGCAGTTTCCAGCAACTGGATGGGACACTTGCCGAAGGCGCTAGAAAGCTGGCGTCAAGTGTCTCCTTCAGTGGCCTGCAGCTGTAGCCAGCCTGCTATTGGTTATTTTAAATTGCAGTAGCCAATAGCAGGCTGGCTATTGCACCCACTGCCGGCTGTCAATCAGCAGATGAGATAATTCTTCTTTAGGTGCCTCCTCTGCTGATAAACAGCAGGAAGTGGGTGGGTGCAATAGCCAGCCATCAGCTACTGCAATTTAAAATCACCAATAGCAGGCTGGCTATTGCTCCCAGCCACTACCTGCTGTGTTTACAGGCAGGTGTCATTCCCAGTGAAGTGGAAAAGGTGACACTCGGGGGCTAAAAGACCTGAAATGTCACCTTAACGAGAACCTGTCATTTCCAAAGTGCTACCACATAGGGGGCTTGTGAGCCCCCCAGTGTGATAGCAATGAGTTAAAACAAAGTTTAAAAAAATAAAGTTAAACTAAAATTAGCAATACCCCCCAAAAAAAATGAATATCCCATACGCACATTAAACATTTTTTTTTACCCCCCCCCCCCCCCCCAAAAAAAACACTGGCTTCTAGATTCACAGAAAATGTGTCCAGCTCTGGATTATGTGAAATAAAATGCATTACGCTTTATTTGTTAAACCCCATCTGTAGGCAAACAAACAAAAAACTTACCCCTGCAGTGTGGTTACACCCACACTGCAATGATTAAGTGCTCATTTATTTGGGACACTATTAACGCTATTTTACTTACCAGATTCCCACTCCCACCATCTCCGACAAGGCCGCTAGACTGGTCCCCGCATGCTCTTTTTGCCTTCGCTCCATCAGTCTAAGGATATCACGTCTTATGCAAGTCCATTGACGTGCATTAGACACGAGGACGCCAAGGGACATTCCTCAAGTCAGAGCGAAGGGGAAGAGAGATGAGCGCTGATCGTGGGAACTGGGATCAGATAAACAGGTTTATTTGAGTCCCCTAGAAAAAATAAGCACCCAACCCTTGCCGTCAAGGAGGTAGCCCCACTACGGGGTAGGTTTTTTTCTTTGCCCGGAGATGGGCTTTAAAACATGTAGAAAAGGAACAATGGCAACTGGTCAGAAGACACTTTTCATTTCTAATACTTGAGAGATAAAAGCTGTACAATGATTGCTAGGAATAGTTTTAGTTTAATTTATAATAATAAT